TTAAGCCCTAAAAAATACTCGCGCCTCTTTGTGCTTTGTGCTATCGTATCTATACTTTTTTTTTAGCAGTATAGACTGCATCCATTTCAAATCACGCAGATAGTCCGATGGTATATCGAGCATTAACTTGGGAATAAAATAATTTTTTTCTGCTTGACAAATAAATGAACCTTTGGGTTGCTTCAAAGGTTAATTTTCCCCATTTTTCGTACTTTTTTAAATTTGATTAATAACAGTGAAAAATATTGATAAATGATAAAAAAAATACGATTTTATGAAAAAAGAAACTTTTTTCTCAAAAAGACCANACTTTATTTATTTGTTTTTAAAAATGAGAGCGGAGCGGAAAAGTACATATTTTATTAAGCCCTAAAAAATACTCGTGCCTCTTTCTGCTATCGTATCTATACTTTTTTTTAGCAGTATAGACTGCATCCATTTCAAATCACGCAGATAGTCCGATGGTATATCGAGCATTAACTTGGGAATAAAATAAGTTTTTTCTGCTTGACAAATAAATGGACCTTTGGTTGCTCCAAAGGTTAATTTTCCCCATTTTTCGTACTTTTTTAAATTTGATTAATAACAGTGAAAAATATTGATAAATGATAAAAAAAAATACGATTTTATGAAAAAAGAAACTTTTTTCTCAAAAAGACCACCTATCATTTACTTAAAATTTACTTACCATAAAAATTTCGTTTGGTATTTTTTCGTTTCTTAGGAGAAAACAAATTATTTTAATTTTTTCTTTAGAACCTCTTAATATTAAAATTTTTAAGACTTCTAGTTGTTGCTTGAATGTGTTTTTTAAAGTTTTGACACGTCTTTAAATATATCTTTAAAATGAAAAATTTTAATAAATAACAATAATAAGTACTTAACTTCTTTTGAAGGAACAAACAAAAATGTAACTCAAAAGAAGGCGCGTTGTTTCTTCAAATCTTCATGTTTTATACTTATTAGATGGGCGCAGGATACCGAAACCCACGGTGCTGATTTAAAATTGACCAGGATGGACGGTATCGGGAGGGTCTGTAAAAATTTTGCGACAGGGACGGAACCAAAATTCTTTCCCGACACTCCCCATAAAACCGCAAATTAAATTTAGAAAATCTTCCTTAAAAACGATTTATGAAATATGCACTTTTTTATGTTTTATTGAGACGACAACGAACAACAAAGAAAACAAAATAGTCGTTATTTTTTATATTATTATTTTTATTTATTTTTTTTCTTAGTGATAGATTTCGTGGCCCACGGGACCCGCGGTACAATTCTGAAAAACGTCGGGATGAGCGGGTTCGGAACATAAAAATTGAATTTCGGAATAGGCGGGACCGGGATTAAATATTTAGCCCCGTGCCCATCTCTAATACTTGACCTAATTGATCGTAAAATCGTGAGTCCAGATTCTGTATCGAATAAATAGTTAAGCGATTCATTAATTTTTCATATACATAACTGAAAATAATTTGAGTTCCAATTTGTAATATATACATATGTATGTATGTATGTACTGTATATTATGTATATTACTGTACTGTACTGTATATTCATGTAGGAGCACTAAAAATACATACACATACTTAATTACATCTTTTTTCAAGTGAAGTGCTGTATATTGTTTAGAATAAGATTTGTTGATTCGAGTACGTACATATGCTCGCTTAAGCTTTTAGGATTATTTTGAAACGACCTCTTAAACAATCTGTATCGATACGATGATGCATAGCTTCTGTTTATACTTACTTTATACGGTTGTATTTTTATTTTTGTTTATCTAAAGTCGAAAGCATTTTTTAATTAATCTAAAACCGTAACGCTTTAACAAACGATAAGTGGTTTTCAAGTGTGGAAGGAACTAGGGTTTTTATGGCACGTCGAGTATGGCGCTGATTACATATTTATGAGAGACTTGGAAGTAAAAATCCATACCTATATATGTAGTTTGTCCGTATATACATAGATGTATACTTACTACGTATATAGGTATTATGTATGTCCGTATGCACGTGTAACCTTTATCTTCATATATACATACATATGCATGTACAATAGACTACATACAGTTCAGAAAAACTACCAAATTAATTTCTTTCAAAACCAAACTTTTCGGCAAGAAAACTCATCAAAAAGCAAGTATTTCAGAAAAATCAATGTCAGAAACAATTGTATTTCAGAAAGGCCAAATGTATTTAGAACTCATGTTTCAAACCAAATGTATTTCAAAGGCAAATGATTCAACCTCAAATGTATTTCAGAAAAAAACAAATGTATTTCAGAAAAGGGCAATGTATTTCAGAAAAGCACAAATGTATTTCAGAAAAGCATAGCTGTATTCTAAAAATATTTTTCTGAAATACATTTGCGTTTTTCTGAAATATATTTGAGGTTTTCTGAAATACATTTGGCCTTTTCAGAAATACAATTGCGTTTTTTGAAATCCATTTGTGTTTTTCTGAAATACATTTGCGATTTTCTGAAATACATTTGAGGTTTTCTGAAATACATTTGCGTTTTTCTGAAATACATTTGAGCTTTTCTGAAATACATTTGGGTTTTTCTGAAATACATTTGAGATTTTCTGAAATACATTTGAGGTTTTCTGAAATACATTTGGCCTTTTCTGAAATACATTTGTGTTTTTCTGAAATACTGTTGGAAAAGGTGTAGTTCAAAAAATCGACCAAATATTTAATTTCTTTCAAAATTCTTCAAATTTTCGGGACAGTAGAAAAAATGCCTGTCAAAAGCGTAGCCCTCAGTTTTAAGACTGAGAGATCGCTCATTGCGAATTTTTATTTTCAAAGAAAAGTAAAAATTATAAAATGTCCAAGAAAAATTTTATGATATTTAATGAATATTTTATAAACTGTATCTAATGACTTAACTAAACTTTAAAATAGATAAGCTAACGGCCCTAAGTGACAAGTTTTAACATTTTGCTGAGAATTTTAAAAACCATTCAATTTTGTATATATTTTTTGAGTAAGTTTTGGAGGACGGAATTTGTGGAAAAATCATGAGATTATTTTTACAGCCTACAATATCCTTCGAAAATATGTATATATCGCTCATTCCGATATGCTAACTTAAAGAAAGATTTTTCCCCTGTGTTATGGGAAATATAAATTCACGATTAGCAACCTCTAAAAGGCGTTTTTGTTTTTTTGAACCAGTCTAATGTACATGTCCAAGGGATGAATAAATTATATTTGTTGATTAGTGGGCGAAATTGTATTTAGTAAATACTGACTACTTCAGTACAAATTTTCAACAAAATTAAAATTTTATAACCTAAATCTTTAGAACATTTTTGGGTATACAGTTTTATAGCCCATACAATTCTAATCTAATTAAGTGATAATTTCAACCGGCTAAAAATCGCGTTGATTTTTGAGAAATTTTTTAAGACTACTTTTTCGGTTTTTTTTTTATATAAAAAGTGACATTTCCAAAACCTGGCGTTGTTGTTGTTGCAAAATCCGTCACCAAAATTAAATTTTATTTTTTTTGTTTATTTCACATAATTATTTCAAGTTAATAAAATTTTTTGGAGTTTAATGTTAATTAAAAAGGTCACAACATCTATAAATACATAAAAAAATTTAATATTGAAAAGAACAAAAAAGATGTAAAATAAATGGCTTACTAAATCCGCGATCCTGCAGAGGACACAGGGTGAACTAATTAAAGTAAATTTTTTCTCTTCATATTGGATAGCCCGGTTCTCTCTCATCTTTACAAAAAAGGTCCATTCAAGAACTTTTCCAGTAAGTACTTGCAGCGAGAGCGGAAAAGGAAAATAGGGAGTAAAATTAAGAGGAAGAGAAAATTATCAGAAAAAGTTATTGAACGCAAAACTAGTAATTATGTTTCATCAAATAATCCTCCTAAACACTTTGTTTACTTTTGAATTTGAAATATAACCTTATTTTTTGAATCCTTCCAAATCCTGCTAGTAAAATTTTTACTTGTAAGAATTTGCAGCTCTCTCGGGTTGTTATAGTCTCGAATTCGCTCTCTCTCTTGCACATTTTTTGGGTTATTGAATGCATTTCCAGTAAAAACTTGTAAGTACTAGTAACAATTCGTAACATTTTTTTGATATTGAATGGACCTAAAGCTATTTCTACTTCAACTTAAAAATCTATTTTAAACTTAAAACTTTATTTTAACAGGAATGAGTTTTATTACTATGGGCCAATGATTCATAGTGTTTTAAGACTTATTGTCAATTAGTTTTAGGAGATAGGAGTTAATACTGATTTCTGAGATACGAACTTTTGCCAAAGTACCGTCGATATATGTATCTATACCTTGCCATTGTGAATGCAAAGCCTATAAAAACCCCACTTTCACCCAAATAGTATAATGCACATATCTAAGCTAATTTATTTATGTAATACTCGAATAAGCGTGCATAAATGCATTNATTTTGGGTATTTCTACTTCAACTTAAAAATCTATTTTAAACTTAAAACTTTATTTTAACAGGAATGAGTTTTATTACTTACGACTATGACTATGGGCCAATGATTCATAGTGTTTTAAGACTTATTGTCAATTAGTTTTAGGAGATAGGAGTTAATACTGATTTCTGAGATACGAGCTTTTGCCAAAGTACCGTCGATATATGTATCTATACCTTGCCATTGTGAATGCAAAGCCTATAAAAATCCCACTTTCACCCAAATAGTATAATGCACATATCTAAGCTAATTTATTTATGTAATACTCGAATAAGCGTGCATAAATGCATTTATGTACATACATATGTACATATTGGAACATGTAACTGGAAAAACCATGGTAGTTACAAAAACAATTCTGCATGTCTGATTTTGAATTTAACATTCGACGAAACTGCAGTCGGCAAGGCAGGGTCCACTTTAATGAATCGGTTAGTGACCAAAAGCAGTACCGGAAGATGAACTTCATTATCGACTGTGCCACTGCTTTAACACTGCTTATCGATTTTTATGTGCCATCTCCCCGTTTGTGTGTATATTTCATCTGCAAAATGTCAAATTTATAATGAAATTTGCAGCCAAAGTTTGCCCAGCCGTTTTTTTATGGAATTTAATAACAAATCCACAATTATCCAATAAGGTGAGTACTAATTTATATATTTCCTTTTGAGTATTCATTCTATAACCCGAAAAATTGTTTGTCTACTCAACCAGCATCAGCATGTTCGGCACTTTGCAAAATTACTTGAGCGGCGTGCAGCGCGCCTGGTCTGTGGCGGATGGTGAGACGATGGCATCTTTTATTTCACTCAAAGACAAGCATATAATGAATCGTAATTTATATGTGGAGTGTCCAGAGAATGCCGTGGAACGTATGCTGGATCCGCCCATTGATGAGATTGTTTGTGCGCATCTAAAAGTACTCTATTTCTTGGGCTTGGAAAGTGAGTTAAAGCAATGCTCTGTGTATACACTTTCTATTTGTTTCTATAAAAACAGTTTAATTCTCTTAGCTCGCGATTTTATGCAAGCTTATCGCCAACAATCACAATGCATACAATCTGTTGTGAAAATGTTGCAACAGTTGAAGGAGGAGAACTGGTGTCTTCCCATAATGTACACAACCTGCTTGGATTTGCGCATATTAGCGCAAAAATGCGAAGAACTTGGCAGCAGCACCAAGCCAGGGGAAATTCTTGAGAAGGCCGCAGACTGCCTAATGAGCTGTTTCCGTGTATGCGCCGCAGATAATAGGTACGTCTCATTGCCTTTAGAATTCGCCATTCAGAGGCAAATTAATTTTAGCCCATCTATTCGCTTGTTAGATCTTCGGATGACGACACTAAACGCCTTGGCATGCTCAACCTTGTTAATCAGCTATTCAAAGTCTACTTCCGCATCAACAAATTGCATTTGTGTAAGCCATTGATACGCGCCATCGATAGCAGCACCTTCAAAGACTCCTTCCCATTGCCAGAACAGATAACATATAAATATTTTGTAGGCCGTAAGGCCATGTTCGATTCAGACTATAAAAGCGCCGATGAATTTCTATCATTTGCGCTGCGCAACTGTCCACGCAATTTCCCACGCAACAAGCGGCTCATACTAATCTACTTGGTGCCGGTGAAGATGCTACTTGGCTACTTGCCCAAGAAGGACAACCTCGAACGTTTTGACCTACTACAGTTTCATGAACTTGCTGTCGCTTTAAAAGAGGGCAATGTTCGCAAATTCGATGAAGTTATACAACGTCATGAGATATTCTTCATCAAATGCGGCATTTATTTGTTGGTTGAAAAATTGAAATTCATTGTCTATCGCAATCTCTTCAAGCGTGTGTACATAATCAAACAGACGCATCAATTAGATTTGCGGGCATTTCAAGCGGCATTGCAATTTGTCGGCGAAACAGATGTGAGCATCGATGAAACGCATTGCATAGTGGCTAATTTGATTTTTGAGGGTAAAATCAAGGGCTACATCTCATACAGTCACAACAAGTTGGTGGTGTCCAAGCAGAATCCTTTTCCACCACTTAATACGGTTTCCTAGGAGCGGCTGATGCGTGGTGCAGAGGCTCACGGACCAGGATCTTTAAGTTATTTATAAAGCATTTACATAGTACATACATACATACTCTACATGGTACGCTAATAAATTGTATTTTATTTTATTTTTAGAAACTGTAAGATATGCATGTTAGATATTGTGAACTCATAATTATGACTTGCGCAAGTGTAAGAAAGAAACAATTCAAATAAATAAGAAGACTTCTTAATTAACTTTAATTTTAAAAAGTTTTAAAATAAGCAAATTAAACTAAGATTTGTTCTTCTTTTAATAACTGATAATAGTGTCCCAAATAAGAGTTTGCGAGATTGAATATGGGATCTGCCGATTTTAAGTTTGGTCAACATCTTTTTATTTTCGAAACTGTATTATGATCCAAAGTTCCGAAGGAGGCGAATGTTGTTTTTCGATGGTCGGAGGCTGTGAACCATATTTATTTTAAGGTTCCTCAACAAGATTTTAAGTATGTCTTTACATTACGTTCGTATAAATATGTGTTTGTTATTAATATGCACATTATTGGACAATTTCAATGGTAATAAAGGTTACACCATTTTTTCATGTTCTTATTTTGCAGATATTCAAGAATTCTATGAATTAACACTGCTGGATGACTCAAAGACAATACAGCAGAAGACAGCCGAAACGTTGCAAATCGCCAGCAAATGGGAACAGGATGGCCATGCAATAAAAATCGCTGATGTAAGTATATACAAAAAATGCTTGACGGCCAAACTGTTTGCGTTGTTTTTATTCATTTTTATTTTGGCAAAAATTAAATCAGTATGTAATACTGTAGGATGGCAATAAGCCAGTGAACTTGTCGACTTTCTAGAGCTGGGATTGCAATCCTGCATGAACATTTTTTTTTGCCTTTGTGTAAGATATTTCTTAAAAAGCTAGCGTTTTTTTGGTGCATATCTACATACGTATATATATGTTCATATGTGCTATATATATTTCTATATACACACCGTGAGCCAAATTTAATTTTTTATGATAGTATAGCTGATTACTTAACAAACACCATATAAATCCAAATTTCAGACTTTGTGCAAAAGTATGAAAATTCCTCCAAATATCTAACTTTTTAATTAGCATCTCTTGAAAATATGTTGGTGCTCGAGCCTCCCCCCCCTAACTTTCAAATTTTCCTTATATATATATAAAATAGTACCCTGAAATGCCAGCTTAATAGGGTCGAGCCCCCCTAAATTTCATTCTGGCTACGCCGATGACAACAGACATCCAATTTATTCGCCACTCGACTCTGACACCTGCTCTCTGAGAGCACTCTTCAACAATCCGACATACGCCTGCAGTGGAACCACATATCCAGCTCATTAAGTAGCGCCGCCGAAGAAGGTACGATTAGGAGTGTCAAGAAGCTGCCGAGAAAAAAGATACCGCCAACAGGGCCACGCTGCGATCGGGCTCAACTCGAGCCATGTGGGACCGTTATAAAGAGCTGAAGAGGGAAGCGAGACGTATTGGCTGCAATAAGAAGCGAGGGGCCGAAATACGTGAGTGCGAAGAGCTTGAAATGCTGGCGGACAGGAAAAACGCCCGACAATTTTATCAGAGAGTTAGGCGACTTACTGGAGGTTTCAAGACCAGGGCAAACTCCTGTTAGAACAACCATGGCGACCTAGATACCGATGTCCAGAACGTACTTAAATTATGGAGGGAACACTTTTCCACCCTAGTGAATGACAGCAGAACTGAGAGAAGAGAAGACGAACGCGAGCCCCCAGTCGATGTCCCACCGCCTGACTATGACGAGCTACGAATAGCGATTACGCGGCTGAAAAACAACAAAACTGCTGGAGCTGACGGCCTGCCAGCCGAGCTATTCAAGTACGACGGCGAGGAGCTAATAATGCGCATGCATCAACTCTTATGTAGCGAAATAAAATCCAGCGGCTTCGCTGGCTAGGCTATGTCCTGGACAGAAACTCTCCGGCTCTGAAAGTGTTCAACGCGGGTCGCGATGCTGGTAACAGAGGAAGAGGAAGGCCTCATCTGCGTTGGAAAGACCAGGTGGAGACGGACTTGGCTTTACTTGGCATTTCTTAATGGCGTCAATTGGAATAGAAGAGAAATGACTGGCGTGCTGTTTTGACTCGGCTAAAATCGCTTTGGCGGTTACAGTGCCAATAAAGAAGAAGAAGAAGCTTTAGTAGTAATAATAGGGAGGTGGGCCCGGTTCTTGCCTGATTTCAAAAATTTCCACGGGTTTCTTAGTGAGACTCTAAGCAATGTTCGTAAAGAGACTACTAAGATACAGTATTTCATCATAAGTAGTCGCTGCCACGCCCATTTCGCAAAAATTGAATAACTGTCTAATTTTATGTCAAAAATCTACTTCACATTCCAACTTTCAACAATTTGGAGCCAGCATTTAAGGAAATATCGTAGTTTTTGCATTTTTCCAAAACACCGTTATTTTCAGAGGAAATTCTCCAATTTTGCTGATAATCAATACCAACCTACCTGGGATGAAGGGAAATTAACTACATATTTTTCTAAGTGTCGCTAATTGTACATAGATAGATGGTATGCACATACATACATACATATACATACATATATGCTTATAAATATACATATGTATGTATGTTTGTGTTACTCTAATCGCATACATAAATAAGTACATATTAGTTAGTCGCCACAATGACGTTTACTTGTAAATGGCGTTGACCTAGTTAAGTTCAAACGTTGCTCGCAATTCGTTAGTCCTTGGCGTGTCCTAATTAATTTATAGCGCACCGAAACGATAACAACAATAAAAACGTGGTAAAAATACCAGCTCTAGAAGAAGGCTCTAAATTTGTGTGCTCCTAAGTATGTACATATGTACATATATATATACATATGTACATGTGTTTGTCTGCGCCCACTATCGCGAATGCAATTAATTTTTGGAAAATTTTGCAGCTTGTCGCTTTTGAAGCACTTTTTAAGTGTTTCCGCTTAGCGCATGTTTGCATATGTATCTACATACATAAATTTATATGTGTATGAGCCAAGCGAATTTTCTCGCACAACTTTATATTTTCTGGCCAAGTACAATAATAAACATCTGGGATATGCTTGCTATTTTTCATTGAGAAGCAGCTACATACATACATACATACATGTCCATTAGATTGTGCAAAAGAAAAAAGTTAGCCGGACACCCCTAGTCCTAGTCTAAAGTATTTTTGCAAGGCAATTTCGAAACATTTTTGTTTGTCTGTGGGGTCCGCCTTTTTACATTTTTCGTAATATCTTTGGCATTCATACAGTCATATCTTAAAGTGCGTCCATCTTTTTTTTGTTTGCTTGCAAGCTGATCCAGTCTAATGCATGTACATAAATACAAGTTTCCTTATTTTTTTGATTTCCATTTGAAATGGAGGGAATTGTAGCTGCTGGTAGTTCTGTGAAGGCTACTAAAACTTCGAATAAGATAAACAAGATACCCAAATCGGTGAAATTTCATGGCTATCCATTTAATTCCTAGGCTACTCAATACAAGCATTCGGCTGAAAAGAATGCTAGAATAGTGTGGAAGATTTTAAAGGGAGTTTAAATAATATTCGAGAGTGGAGCAAAGACGGTGAAATATGCTGGTTCAGGGCTCAAAGCTATAATCATATCAACAGCCAATGGTTCGGTAAAAACATTATCCTCTGTTGCAAATAGGGTTACACCTCTAGGAGTATCTTTTCTGCGCTGCTATGTGCGGTGGCGCTGAACAACGTAGGACTACTAGAAATCAACATATGGAAATGAGATTCAATGCCAGGCCTCTATCCTTCCATGAATAGCGAAATTTTAGTGGGCGTTCTGCTTAGGTTACACTCGTTGTCCCCAAAAAATAAAATACCTTAGTGTCAAACCGAGCAAAACGGAACTCAGTTCAGACAATGGAACGACCCTCACATTATCCCCGGCGGCGAAGTTCCTCGGCATTGTTTCTGACACCAAACTGAGCTGAAAGACAAATATCAAGAGATGCCTAGAGATAGCAGTAGGAATTCAGGACTAAGGCCAAAACTTGTGCTGTTAATGTATGGCTAATATAAGACCAATACTAATTTATGGTGCGGTGCGTTAGTACCCAATATGCACGAAGCAAACATTGTTCCAATCTTTGAGAAATTCTTGATTTTCAAGTGGATAAACAACAGTTTTCTAAAAGTTGAATAAAATTTGAATTCAAATTGATATCCAATCGTTTCTCAAGAGGAGAACGCAGATTTGCATACAAATAATTTTCCCTTTTGTTAGAGAGGTTCCCCAATTGACTTGAACAATTGAAAATAAACATTGGATCTTGGAATTTGTTTTGGATCTCCACCTGATCTCCAACCTGAGCAGATTTTATTTCATATTTTTAGCTGTTGTGTGCTCCAATTTGAAATCTGAACATTTCGGTACCGAGTATCGAAAGCATTGGGTACTTTTTAAATCAGTACTGAGTATGGATCAATACTTGAAAATATCGACTCGGCGCACTACCATTTGTGTCACAAGATCAAGAAGCAGAACACTCAGAAGCAGAAAACGTTTAAGCGCCAAACATTCATTTATTGGAATCAAATATGATATACTGTTCATACCCAAATAACCTAGGATATAATTTTAAAACTATTCAAGAGTTTCCCCAAAACCGGTGGAAATCGTTTTGGAAAACCGAGTCAATTATCCTAGGCAATACGCAGGCAATGCTTCTACCAACCAACCATAACCATTACTAATACCGTTGCTATTACCCCAACTACTACCATTACAAGACATCCACATTACCGCATCATCCTAACCAGCATGCAACATATGTATGTAAATATGTATATTCAGGGACAACTTTGGAAAGCTGTGTCTGATCACCCTAATACAATATTTACGAACACTTTTTTATTCGCTTATGGAGGGCTGTATTTTCCCCAAGAAAAGTGAACTGCAACAACTCAAAAACTTGTAACTTCTTGGTAAATTAGTGATGCATAAAGTTTTACAAAGTATTCTTCGACGTATCACCGTCAATACTTGAAGTTTTTGAAGTAAATAAAGAAAAATGTATGTACGAAGAAGTGGATATTTATATGCACTTTTGTTAAGTGTTGGTCGCTGTTACTTGCTTCCAGCTGCATTCTATTCAAGTTGTCGATAACATGAAAGTGAAAAATTCTAGAAATTTAAGAACTGCTACCATAGATTTGCATAAGACAAACCAATAAGTGGGGGTGAAAGTAAAAAGTAAAGTAAAATGAAAAATGTTTTTTAATGACTCTAGACGAAGCCAAACCATAATAACATATAAAAACTGTATATGCCTTGTAGAGAAAAATCTCTAGTTCTGAATTGGTATGCTTCTAGTTCATTTAGAACCACTACTAGTTCGCTATAATTCGAATTTAACATATTGATGTCGTAGGAAATTGAAATTATCCCCTATTGCAGTGCCAGTGGCGCTTGCTATTGTTTGTTAGATTCAAGAAGGTTCCAGGCTGCAATGCCGTCAGACGCGACATGTTAAAACGGTAATACAAAGTTTTGTTTTGTTTTTCCAAACTATGAAAGAGCGTCTGTGAAGTGAAGTGAGTGAAAGCATATTCGAACGAAAAAAACTCTTTAGTGCCTCCTGCATCCCTTTTTCGATAGTTTCAAACCACTACTAAATTCATCACCCAGGCGAATTTATATAAGGCGGTGCT